ACTCAGAAACCGGAGTTCGAAGACAGTCGCCGATGAAGCTAGCTCGTCACTACTCTCAGTCTCCTTCTGGTTTTTATAAGTGACTTGAGTTAAACTGACTTGCTCCTTGACGTTCGAGACCAAGCCGGGTTGGGTCGGGTCGGGTCATTTTCAAACACGTGATATAACTACCAAGCCACTCCAAGCAACACAGAGCCAAATCCGTCTATTTGAAAGACGTGGTCCAGTTCTACCAAGTAACGAACAAGCGGAAGGGCCACATTTCATATTCTTAATTTGGTATTATTACAGACTTGTTTATGGACATGATTGATGATAATATCATATCTACTACGAGATGTCCTGAGAAAAATATACGATATGGCATGAATGGATGCTGTTTTATATTAATTTTTCAGATTTAAGTTTCTTGCCAAATTAAATAGTTTTTGGTTTTTGGAGAGGAAACACCAAGATGAAGATTTTTTTTTTTAAAGAAATTCCCTACTTCGTAAGAGAAGTAAAAAATATAAAAGCTTGAATTTGAATGTATAACTAAAGAAAAATACAAAAACCTTCACAAATCACACACTCTTAAGTCAAGTTGGTCTTCAATTTTTTTAATGGGAGCTAACTTATTTCACAAAAAACAGAGATGAACGAAGATTGTAGTTTCAAACACGAGTTAACGTAAATACGAATAAAATATAATAATTTACTTTTTTCAATCTGAAACAATATTTTCTACAGCAACTAATATCGTATTTGGCTACGTTACTCAAGTCAAAGAATTTTTCTAGATTTACCACTGTAATCAGAAGTGGCCGTCACAGTGTTTAGTATAAAAGCTCCCAATGCCCAATCTAGAGGTATGTCTTCTCCTTCTTTATCCGCAAACCCGATTCTGCAGACGAAACAAACATAGTTTTAGATCGAACCCCCAAAACCGACATTGATTGGTCTAATTGTTCTTGAATTTGTGCAGTAAGTTTTACCTTTCATCATCAAGATCAAAACCAAGACTATCGTGAAGCATCGAGAGAATATATGCTGATGAGAAGCAATACCGAAGCAAATTCTCGTCTTTAAATGTTGGATATTTCGCTTTCAACTTTGACCAATCCTCTCCACAGAATCTCTTGCCGGCTAAAATCATTTCAGACAGCCAATCCTTTTCTCCCAACCCAAAAAACTGATACAAACAGAAATATAAGATCAATGTTCAAACAATTCTTCAAAAATTCAGACAAGATCTTGGCTTCAACCATCATCAAATTGAAAGGACTATTATACCTTCGAGGTGTGGACGAAATTCTCTGTAGCCAAAAAACTTCCTTGAAGATTAGGTGTGAATGTTGATCCAATAGAACAATGCTTATACGGACATTTCTCTGTACACAAAAGTAAACCGTCCCATGAGAGATAAAGAAAATTGACACGAGGAACGGTATTCAGCTATACGAATAATATTCTTACCTTTTCCTTCCTGCAACATGGCGAATGCAGCGGATCGGCACTTTGAGAAGTTACCAGCAGCTTGAACTGAGGATGTAAATCTGCTTTCTTCAGTTAAGAATCCGGATAAATCCTTATGTGAATTTTTGTCGAGGATGTATCCTTTAGGAGTACAAGGGTCAGTCACTATTCCTTCCTCTGTAGAGTTTGCAGCTGCAAGGATTGAAACACTATTGAGTTTGTTTGGAGGGAAAATAAGCTTAAAAATTGCCTGAACTCAAAAGTGCAATTATTTACTCTACAAAATCTTCAAGTTCAGTAAACTGGTGATTACTTTAAAGATTAATTAACAATCAACCTGAGTTGTGAAGTGATTCCAATAACTTTTCATGTGCTGCATCCTGCGAGGCGACAAAAGTTAATAGCTTCTTTAACATTAACAAAGGATAGAAACCCTTTGTTTTGGTGGCATGTTCTACAGTTTTGAGGAAATATAAACAATCAGAGATCAAGCAGCATATAGGGGCAGAACTACATAAAGTTTCCAGAAACCAAACTTTTGAAAAGGATAACATCATAGGAAACAATTTCTCGAGGACATATACTCTGCTCTCAGAAGTCACCTGTCCAAAGTGGAGGAAGCTGTGGCTATAGAGATTGTATGAAACATTTCCATAGGATATCGTACGCGAGAACTCAGGAGGCACATACTCACTTGACACAAATGTCACCTAAACAAAATGCACACAAAATCATCGCTTACAATCGACCATTGACCACGCAGTTGAAGTTTTGTCCCAAGTCTCACAAATTCGAAGGGAAGAGACAAAACCTGAGCAGAAGCCCCGCCGAGCTCAACGATCCCCGTTGTTTGCAAGGGATCACCTCCAAGAGAACCAAGCGCATGATTGGCAACAACCCAAGCATATATACCTTCATCAGATCCTGATAATTTCCCCAGATTTCAAATTAAGCAGCACGTCTTGATAGGCACATTTACTATCACTCAACTAATTTCCCGAGGATCACCTCCAGCAGAACCAAGTGCCAATGGATAGGCACATTTACTATCACTCAACTAAAGCTAATACAGAAGAAAATGATACATAAATCCAAACCAACCACACTCCAATACTCCCACAATGCAGAATTGTAGGTCAGTGATCAATCTATAACTCTAATCTTATGAACCAGCAATCGCATTTGTTCGAACGAAGAATTGATTCGAAAAACTAACCAGAGATAACAGAAGCCCATTCGTCTCGAAACTTAAACCCAGAAGATCTAAGAACTCTTCTTGTAACTTCAAGAATCTGTTCCTGAACATTTGCTTCAAGCAATCTCATCCCAGCAGTCGCCATCAACCTAATATCACTCTCCTTCAACATTCCTTTCGGAACTCTCCCCTTGGCGAATTCCACCAGCTCCGTCACTGAGACGCTTGCTCCGTCCGGATTATCACCGTACGCCGACAAACCAGGACTCAATTTCAAACTAGCGTAATTCCCCCCACCGAAATCGAAAACAGGTTTCCCGGATTCGATCCGATGCCCGAAAACGTGAACTCGGGTCCCCGAACTCCCGCCGTCGATCACGACGCTGTACCGGGGCGAGCTTCTCCGATTCCTACCGGAGAGTAAAATTGAATAGCAAGCAGACAATAACCCCAAAGCGATAGCAACGGAAGCGATGATTAAGAGGATAATCGATTTCGTTGGTTTCGACTTGGGTTTAGCGATCGACGACGACGGCGATGATCGTTGGCCAGGTCGAGCGTGAACGTTGAGATGATCCATCTCTGGTTTGTGTTTCAAACTGGAACGAGCATGAGATCGTTGCATCAACGTTTAAGGATTCGCAGTGAGAATCGGACGAGGAATCATGAGATCTGAAGGTGATGTATCGCAACGCAAACAAGAAGTAACTCCAATAGCGGTTTCTTCTTTAGCTAATTCGAAGTTTCGTCTTCTTAGTCTAGATATCTAATTTTGTAATCAGTGTGAAATCGGAGATCGATAGATAAGCTCTTCGATGGCCTCAAGTCTCTGTTTTCGTACTGGAGAAGAAATTGGTCACTGGAGCGCCTTTTACCAACATTATTACAACTACAAA